GGAGGGGGGGCCTAGGGGGAACACCCGCGGGGTCCAGCGGGTGCAAGCCCAGGAGCAGAGCGCCAGCCAGCAAGCAGTGGGGCGATATAACGAAAACTGACCGGGGCCACTACAAGCGGGCCAAATGAGGAAAAAAAATGCTTTCGAAACGTACCTGTGCAGTCTGCTGACCACAGCCATAAGCGCTGCAGAGTCCAGGAAGGGGCTCGTCACAGCAAACTTGAGATGTCGGCTGGAACATAAACACAACACAATTAGTTCATGTGTAGTCACAAAACAATCAAAACAAGACGAGTGAAATTAACTGGAACAGCAGATCGGTAGTCCCATAAAGTCAAACTGCGGCAAGGGCGGCGGCGGCAGCGTCGCGCAGTCCGTAGCGGCCGACAGCGGTGGTGCTTCCCCGCGACTGCGTGCGAGACGCGGAGACAGCTCAGCAGCACAAGGCGACGGGCTCGGGCAGACAGCTCGCTCGCAGCTTGAGAAAGGGCTGCGTCCGAGTCGAGACGAAGGCAAACAGTAGCGGGGGCCAGGCTAGCGCTAGGACAACATACAGGAAATTAGGCTAAAAACAAAGCATAACGACGCTCTAATGGGACACATGACTGACCTTAAAGAGTGAAGAATGTTCTCCAAAGTCTTCGTTAAGTTATGAAATTTAAAATAGGATATAATAAATCACGGTTGATAAATGATATGGCGTTTGATAAAATCTTTAAATTATATGATATCGCGGTTGATAAAACTTTAAATGAAATTATCCAATTTAGCTTCCGATCCCGACGTAAGCGAAAATAATCAGTTAAACATCGACGAGCGATCGCGGAAAATGAACGCGGACCAAACGGCGCGAAAGGACTCGAGAGCATTGTTGGACAATGCCAATGCAGTCATTAACGAGCTTTGTTGTGTTGGAGATGAGTGCCCTTGGGAAGTGTAGCCCCCTGATAAAGTTAAGTATCGCTAAGTAGACCTGAAACACTATAGAAAGAAATTAGGTGCCGTACTGGGCTTTAAATAAGAGGGCGCCATACTCGGCTGCGAGGTGGAGCTCTGAAGTGGAGCGACCAAACAAAAAGCGTCTGTACACAAACTCCGGCGAACGACGAGGCCTACCTTTGGCGGCAGCAGCTGCGAACGCCGCCGCCTCAGCGCTCGCCCAGGTGGATGCGGTGGGAGTCGACGGCCGGAGGACACGTCGTGGGCTCCTCTGGATGGCGATGCACTTGGGTTTCTTGCTGGCGATGCACACGAGGGGACACACAAACCGAAGGGGGCAGACCACGCGTTTCGCGATCGAATGCTTTGGGCGTAGCATTGTCAGACTGCGCGGGGCACAGAGGTCATTCCCTGCGCGAGCCCTAGGCGGGCGCGCGGGCGCGTGGGCGCTAGCTAGTGACACATCGGTGCCGACTAAACAGGCTCGGAGTAAAAGACGTTTGAATGCCGAGCGAGGCCCACAGATCTGCAGGGCGATCCCACACGGTGTTTACGCGTGCCCTCTCCCTCCTGGTGGCAGCGGAGTGCGACAAGGACGGAGAGAAAACGCCGTACGGAATCACCCTCCTGGCGAAGACGACGGTCAGGCAGCCCGGTTATATCGCTCACCATATATCGCATCCGCGCCAGGCGGGCCGGGGCAGCACCGGGCACCAAACGGCTTGTACTTCAAAAGGGTCACAATAACACCTGCCGCGGAGGCGGGGCGCGGGGCGCGCAGCGGGGCGAGCCGGCGCA